ATTTTCACGTTGCGATCATCAGTGGAAATACGCAACTAAAGAGATCAAGGGAAAAACAAAGGTTAAAAATCCAAAGAAGTGTGACACATGACGGGTAACTTGTGGTAAGTATTACAAAAAGTGAGAACTAAAATAAAGAGTAAGTGTGACAAACTTTTTGTAATACTTACCACAAGTTACCCGTCATGTGTCACACTTCTTTGGATTTTTAACCTTTGTTTTTCCCTTGATCTCTTTAGTTGCGTATTTCCACTGATGATCGCAACGTGAAAATCGATTTTGGAAACACACAAAACCAAACCTTGAACAAATTGTCATGTTGCGTGGTGATGTCTGCGGCATTCATACTTTTTATTGCTATTATTAAACTTTTATCTCCACGTAGATTATTTGTACATGTAATACTCAGTGTGATTTGCGACAGCTGTCATTGTGCCGTCGCACCATGCATGTACCATGCACGGGAATGGAACACGGATGAGTCGTTTTATTACGACAGCCTGCACTGGCTACCCTGGGTACCACCAGGGAGTCGTACTCAAACTAGGGAGGTGACACGGCACAGAAATCCGTGTCACAGGGGTTGACTCGCACCCGTGACCCCTCGTTGTTATTTTTGGAATAGTTCAGTCCAGTCCAGTCCGAAAGGTCATACTCGGATGGACTCGCCTTCTGTACTTCACCTCCAAGCGTACCGCATGGGTGTCTAGTTTTTGAAATTATTGAGGCAGCACATTTCGTTTACAGCCCATCACTCGCCAGTATTCTTTGAAAGACTACCAGCAATTTGTTTAGCTCCTGCCATGTCCGAACTACTTGATAGCAGTGATGGCAACATCAGCAGTTATGAGACGGCGTGTAGTGTTACGGTAACTGTTCAGAACTGTTCAGAGTCGTATCCTAGGTTAATCCGAATACTAAAAATTGACCCAAATTGCACATACCCGTAGCACGAAGCTGGTTTTTGAAAATTGTAAGTCGTGTATCTGCCCCATTTCTTCTTTATGACTTGCACAATACACCAGTCTTCCTAAACAACACATTTCTAGCAGGGGTTAAGTACCATATAAGAGAAGTACAGCCAGTGATATTGTCATGTTGAAATACTACAATTTTGACACAAATTACATATAACACGCAGCCAGGTTTTGAAAAATGTAAGTCGTGTATCTGCCCCATTTCTTCTTTATGACTTGCACAATGGTCCAGTCTGCCTAAACAACACATTTATAGCAGGGGTATGTACCATATTAGAGAAGTACAGCCAATGATATTGTCATGTCTAAATACTACAATTTTGACACAAATTAGACATAACACGAAGCTGGTTTTTGAAAATTGTAAGTCGTGTATCTGCCCCATTTCTTCTTTATGACTTGCACAATACACCAGTCTTCCTAAACAACACATTTATAGCAGTACCATACAAGAGAGCTACATTGTACATCTAGTCATACTGTCATAAACAGCCAGCATTTGCCCTGCAGCAGTCACACCACCATCATCATTATTTCCAGGGAAATCCTCTTACATTGTCAGCTCCTACGTCGTTAGATACAATGTAGGGGCTATATGACCGGCTCGTCAAAAATAGAGAACCTGAACAAGCGTGCTCGGGACGTCTCAGCAATCGTAGTATGCCTGAGCACTCCAATAAAAACTTGATCAATGGCAAAATCGTTCCCCACAGAAAAATCATACTTTGCGGGTCTTGCGTTGCACGCTTGGAGGTGAAGTACAGAAGGCGAGTCCATCCGAGTATGACCTTTCGGACTGGACTGGACTGAACTATTCCAAAAATAACAACGAGGGGTCACGGGTGCGAGTCAACCCCTGTGACACGGATTTCTGTGCCGTGTCACCTCCCTAGTTTGAGTACGACTCCCTGGGTACCACCAGGGAGTCGTACTCAAACTACAATTATTATAGGGAGGTGACACGGCACAGAAATTCGTGTCACAGGGGTTGACTCGCACCCTTGACCCCTCGTTGTTATTTTTGGAATAGTTCAGTCCAGTCCAGTCCGTAAGTCCAAAAGATCAAACGCGAATCCTATCCTTCTATCTCCAAGCATTATGTGTCTTGTTCTTGAAATACTGCTGTAGAAATTGTTTTTGAGGAGGCAACTTCATGTTGTGGAGAGATTGCAACAGTATTCTTCGAAAGATTGGCAGCTGATTTTGTTTTTGACCTCCTGCCATGTCCGAACTTCTTGACAGCAGTGGAAATAATGACGATGGTGATGTAACTGCTGCAGGAAACGTCCCGGAAAGGTCAGTGCTACTAGCTGTTTATGTCGACACGACGACAGTACGGTATGACGAAATGTACAATGTACCTTGAGCCGGGCCTCTCTTATGGAACCGAACCTCAGCTAAAAATGGTTTATTCAGGAAGACTAGGGCAGTGTGCAAGTGATAGAGAAGAAACGGGGCTGATACACGACTTACAATTTTCAAAATCCGACTTTGCGTCTTGTGTGATTTTGGGTCGAATTTGTGCTATTTCAACACGACAATACGACTGGCTGGACTTCTCTTATATGCCACTTAACCCCTGTTGGAAATGTGTTTTTCAGGTAGACTAGGGCAGTGTGCAAGTGATAGAGAAGAAACGGGGCTGATACACGACTTACAATTTTCAAAATCCGACTTTGCGTCTTGTGTGATTTTGGGTCGAATTTGTGCTATTTCAACACGACAATACGACTGGCTGGACTTCTCTTATATGCCACTTAACCCCTGTTGGAAATGTGTTTTTCAGGTAGACTAGGGCAGTGTGCAAGTGATAGAGAAGAAACGGGGCTGATACACGACTTACAATTTTCAAAATCCGACTTTGCGTCTTGTGTGATTTTGGGTCGAATTTGTGCTATTTCAGCACGACAATACGACTGGCTGGACTTCTCTTATATGCCACTTAACCCCTGTTGGAAATGTGTTTTTCAGGTAGACTAGGGCAGTGTGCAAGTGATAGAGAAGAAACGGGGCTGATACACGACTTACAATTTTCAAAATCCGACTTTGCGTCTTGTGTGATTTTGGGTCGAATTTGTGCTATTTCAACACGACAATACGACTGGTTGGACTTCTCTTATATGCCACTTAACCCCTGTTGGAAATGTGTTTTTCAGGTAGACTAGGGCAGTGTGCAAGTGATAGAGAAGAAACGGGGCTGATACACGACTTACAATTTTCAAAATCCGACTTTGCGTCTTGTGTGATTTTGGGTCGAATTTGTGCTATTTGGATAAACTTCAGTGTGCGACCACCTCTGAAAACTATGTTGGGTAGGTTGTTAGTTGTGCAACTCATCAATTTAATGATAATGCACTGGTTGTGCTTGTGTAATAACCCATCGTTTCCTTTTTTAAATAAGTTGCGACATGTACTTCACAATGTACCATAATTCCCCCCTCCTGCAGATTGCTTCGCAAGCGAAAATGCGACATGCCTCTACTTGAGTCACCAGGGAAGGTTCCATGTGAGAAGCCACATACCCATGGTGAGCCAACTGATGGTGAGTTAAATTTAAAAACATGCGTACATTCTTCCGTGGTCGATTGCCAGGGAGTTGGGTACGACTCCCTGCCGACTAATCATTGAGTAGTCTTTGAAAAAATCAGATACAATTGAATTCAAGTACATGTGCAATGCATTTACATGTAGGTAATGTTGCACTATTAAAGACGACTCCATAAGATTCAAAAACGCCTTGGAGACAACAATTTCATAATGGCTATAACATTGGAGAAAGATTAGTCGTGCCGTCATCGCGACACGCGAAAAAGTTCACTAAGGTCCAATTATAATAGAATTATGTCCTTCTGTGACAATAACCACTGGTGAAGTCACAAGAAAAAAGTCCCAGGTAACTATAATTGGACTTTGTTGAACTTTGGTGTGTTGCGATGATGCCGGAACTAATCAATATTGTTTCCTATTATTTTCTGTGTACATACATGTACAGGATCTTCAACTTCCTCCAATGGCAACCATCTGCATTCGGTATCAGCCCCACTTACGCCAATCACACGATATATCCGTTGTGGTGGCAGCCAAGCGCCAACACGACGGGAGATTATCCTGTATGGGTGCCTGCATACATTTGTTGGCAATCAGCCATTCCGGGCACGCCGCCACTGGAATGCGGATGTGGAAAGGGCGCTGCAGGCCGTCAACGCCATCGTGCCAGCAGAGGACAGAGTGGATGCCTACGCTCTATACTACTACCTTCACGCTGGCACGATGAGGGGAACCATGGGGAAGTACCTTGGTAAAGTACGCTGGCGGAAATTTGCCCCAGTCTGGAAGGATTTCCAAACAAGGTGCAAACCGGAGCTGAGCCGTGCAGGGTCATCATTGGATGAAGGCACAGATGTGCAAACCTGCCGTGCTGCTGCAAATGCTGCTATCATAGCTTGGCGCAGTGGTGGTGGTAGTGCTTCTTCAAGTGAAGTACCTCATCCAGTTGCACCCACACTCCCGTCAACACCCGTATTCCCACCAACACGTGCACCCACACCCACACTCCCTTCAACACCCGCACCCACACCCACACGTGCACTCCCTACAACACCCGCACTCCCTTCAACACCCGTATTCCCACCAACACGTGCACCCACACTCCATTCAACACCCGCACGTGCACTCCCGTCAACACCCGTATTCCCACCAGCACGTGCACTCCCTTCAACACCCGTATTCCCACCAACTCACGCACCAGCACTCCCGTCAACACCCGCACCAGCACGTGCACTCTCGTCAACACCCGTATTCCCACCGGCACGTGCACTCCCTTCAACACCCGTATTCCCACCAACATGTGCACTCCCTGCAACACCAGCACTCTCACCAACACCCGCACTCACAGGAACACATGTGCTACCATCAACACACACAGCACTGAGTACTACAGTTCCGCAAACCACAGCGTCGAACACAACCATCTCAAGTGCAACCTTCTCTATCAAATCACTTTTCGAGTACATAATGGTGCGACCAACATTGGAATTTTCACTTTGGCATGTTACGGATGGCCAAGACAGCGTAATGCTGCAGTACCATGGAGGTAGTCCTACCCACGCAACCCACTGCTCCATCATAGTCCATAATCATCTTGCGTACGAGGTTTACATATTTGGAAAGAAAGTTGTTCAAGAATGGCAGCCATGTAAAATAAATAATATAGATGATATTAAATCAGTAATGGCAAAAGTAATATCAGCCAGAGTCTGCATTGGAAATTCCCACGCCCAAAACGAGGAATTGATGAAGAGCCGTCTCGATGGAGAAACGTTCCATGGCAAGGACGGCACTGTCACGGCAGTGCTAGAGGAGAGCTGGGTTCCTGGTCGGTGCATTCGCACATCTGTGTGCCCAATTGTGGTCGAGATTGACATTCAATGTGGGGCATGTAGCGTATTCTCGGCAACTCTAAGAAAGGCACGGTCGCGACAGTCTAACCGCACAGCCGAAGACCGAACTACAACAGCACATGCATTCCTCTCCCGTGCAGAGCTTTCTGGACGACTGCACGATTCGCAAGGACAAGTTCGCACCATGAAGAGACACATCTCCAGGCTGGAGGAACGCCAGGAGCGAATGGTAGAAGTGGCGAACAGCAACGAATACGCTTCCATCTTCGAGAAACTGCAGGTTGGAATGGATGCAGTCAAAGAAAAAGCAGAAAATCCGTGTTGCCAGTGGAATAACTGCAAGAAGAAATGTTCGACTATCACAGAACTGATAATACACCTGAAACAGATCCACATAAAAATGGACAGCGGCTGTCACCAGTTACTACCCACCTACACATGCCAATGGAAGAACTGTACACATGCACCATTCAAGAATAAAAAAATATTCACCAGCCACATACGCACGCACACCGGAAAGGAAAGTGATTCCTTCCTCGCTATTCTTTTACAAGATCAAGCGAAGGCGCTCTCGGTCCCCAGTGCACAGATGAGGTGGCACCCGTCTGTGTTGCGATGGTGCTTGCAACAATATGGCAGATCCAGGCAGCAATACGAGCACATACAGTCCAGCGGATTTCTTAAACTGCCATCTGGTAGAACTTTATTGCGATATCAGAATCTGTGCCACCCGGATAGTGGGTGGCAACCTGAAAGCCTGGCAGAAATGCGGGCTCAGTTCGATGTATTTCTGGCGGAGAAGAAAGGCAAGCCTGATAGGAGTCATTACGGAGCCTTCTATTTTGATGAGATGACTATCAAAGAGGGTCTGGTGTGGGACCAGAGAACCAATGAACTGGTTGGATTCGCTGATGACATAGACGACGACTCGTGGGAAGACAGCGAGGGAAGTTATGACAGTGTACACTCTATGTTAGCGAAGAACGTACTGCAGTTCCACTGGAGGTCACTTTTCTCAAGGTTCACTTATCCATGTGCATTCTTCTACACAAGAAATCTGAAAGCCCACCAACTAGATAACATATTCTGGGATGGCGTGACAGCATTGCAGAATATTGGCCTCAAAGTTCTACTTACGGTGTGTGATGGGGCGAGCTGTAACAGGTCGTTCATGAACTTGAACCTTGGAAGTTCCTGTGTGAAGCACAACCCGGTTACAAACACACCGTTATTTTTTATGTCAGACCCCCCGCATCTTGTTAAGAAGTTGAGGAATAACCTGTCGAGAAGTGGCTTTGGAAAGACTTCCAGTCGACTACTAACAATTAATGGTGACATTGCGACATGGTCACAAATCAGGGAAGTGTACGAACGTGACTCTGCAAGGCAGGTGCATTTCACCAAGCTACGAGATGGACACATCAATCTCAACTCCTATTCACAAATGCGCTCACAGCTTGCATACGATATCTTTGATTGGCGGACAGAAGCTGACATGAAAGACAATGTTCCGGACAGAACAGTCGCTATTCGCCAATATCTACACAATGTCAGGACCTTAGTCTCCGTGTATGATTCCAGAGAGCCTCTCTTTAGTGTCCGTGATGATCGGCTCAAAGTAATGGATGCATCAATGTCATGGTTTCGGACATGGAAAAAGGCTTGTGAGATGAAATTTCCAGGAGACAAAGCAAAACAGAGCAAAATGTTTATCTCTTGGCAAGTCTACGAAGATCTGGAGAGAACATACGATGGATTCAAGGGTATGGAAGACTGGAATTGTGTATATTTTCCAGTAACACTATCTGCAGACATCTTTCTTGATGTTCAAAAGTTGCCTCTCTCTCTTGTCTAAAGTGTGTGTGTGTGTGTATGTGTGTATGTGTGTTTAGCGTGTGTGTGTGTGTGCGCACGCTTGCGCAAGAGTGTGAGTAGCTTGTATGATGACCTAGGTGAAGATAAAGCACAGCGAGTCTCTTGAACTAGTAGCTGTCTCTTTCCCTGAAAATTGATGTGTGTTTATGTCCTTTTTGTTGTGCTGACAGGATTGGTTAAGTACATCTCAGAAGACCCAGCAATGAAGTTACTGAATCCTTACATTTTGCCAAAGCTAATTAGCCAAGATTTTGTGGAGAGTTACTTCTCAGTTCAGCGAAGCGAAGGCGGTAGCAGCAGCCACATGACCGCCAGCCGCTACAGCTACAACTCTAAATCTATAGAACAGACGCATGTCCTACCCGGCAATCTGGGCCACAGGGCATGCAGCACTCCCGTGGGCAGAGTTTTCTCAAACTCTGCTGATTTACCGGAGTGAGTCAGCAACTGAACAAATGCATGTATATGTAGCATCCCTGCCTTGCTACTACTGAACTGTTGGTGAATACGACATCTATTTTCACCTCTAGGCATGTCACATGTACACGTACATGCACTGCATGACTCGTGTCACTCCTTAGCTGACAAGCCTACACAGCTGATCATATCACTACCCACCACTTGTGTTTCCCTTGGGCTGACTGAATTTCATACTAGTTATCTTTGCTTGTTTAGATCATCTTACCTGTATGTATCCTATCCCTATGTGATACTAATACCCACGTATTGTACAGAAGTTATTGCAACATTCGTGTTCATTGCCCTGCCACCACTCGGCTACCTATTCTTGTGCTTTGCGTCCCAGCCTACCTTAACAATACCTCTGTTTTCGCTTACCTCAAGACTTTGTCTTCCACTCTTGATATCAGCTCTTCTTTACTGCCATGTAGCCGTAGCTTCCGATCTCTCAGCATACACTTGAGGTTGCCCACTGTCAGCTGCTTGAAGCATTGCTTTCTTGATGCTATGTCCATTTCAAACAAAAGCTTGATGGCGTCGACTGGCTTTCCATCCACTATTGCCGTCTTCACAGGCGTGATGCAAGTAGAAGCAGGTGCTTTTGTGCGATGATTTTCTCTGAGGGTTGCCCTCAAAGCCCGCCCCGCATGTGAGCCGCCAAGATTGTGATTCTTTAACAATTGTTTTTGCTTGCTCTTCAAGAAGGTTTTCACGATCGCTGCCAGTATGCCTTTTCCTGCATCTTCAGCACAGAGAGCCAACAAGGCTTTTTCATAACAACCAATGACCGCTGGATCTTCAACCAGCCGGGCTTCCAATGCCGTTAGCGCTCCTGAACGATGTATCACCAAATCATGCGGAAACGTTGATTCGACAGTCGAGTGGAGGCACTTGAAAAACGGCACAAGCGCGGCAGATATCGAAAACAAGTGCTTTTCAGGGGCAGGGGGGCGAGGCTGGCTGTATGACATATGGTCACCTGGTGACGCTGATGCTGCCTCCTGAACATCCAGGTTATAAAAAGCTTGGAGAAGCTTGGCATCAGCAGGCACAGCGACATCCGAACCAAATTTCTGCAGTTGGGTCAATAGAGCTGAATGGTCGCCATGCCTCAGTAGTCGACGCACAGCAACCAAGCACCATCCTGCATGATACCTGTCCAGGTGATTGAGAATAACAGAGACAAAACACGGGAAAAACAAAACGTGAACTGCTGCTTTTTAAGACTTATTTTTGGGAACACAGCCCCATGCGGTGTTATCAGTCGTGTTGAGCAAAAAAAAGAAGAAAAAAGAATCATATCATGTGAAAACATTTCTCCTGCATACACTGAAACCAGAGAGTCGTACTCAAACTCCCTGACCAAAACTCATCACGATAATAATATGTACATGACACTTTCACCATAAATGACTACAGGAAAAAAGCTGCTGGTTATGATCATGTGATGGATAGCAGGAAGAAACACACAGAAAACCTACCGCAAGGTCTTATCCGCTAAGCAGTCATCTGCGGGGGCTTTGCTCACTCCGACAGGTGGAGGTGAAGCGACATTCTGACTACAAGCAGACGCTGCCCGCACCCAGTGCCAACAGAAGTCGACAAAACGTGCAAATAATCCAAGTTGTATGCCGTCATCTGCGTAGTATGACAAGGACACATATAACCAGTCAAATAAACTGAAGATAACAAATCTGTAATGAAAGGGAAGACATGCGCCAGTTCTCTCTTTGACTACGTTATTTCACAAAGAGTCATTACGAAGAATGTTTAAACCGATTTTGATGGGGCACAAAAGAAAGTGAATTTCCCTTTAAAATATCAGACTTCTATCTGAGTACCTGGACAGGGGACTAAACAACTACTAGCACTTTAATTAAGAACTTCCATCATGTACATGACATGTACCGTAATGTCGCGTGCATTAGCCGGGGCTTATATGCCTATAAGCCGGTGATGGAGTCAGGCTTGTACACAAGACAGGCTTATACACGAGACAGGCTTATATGACAAGCACCACTCAATGACCAGGCTTGTATGCGCAAACTGCTGACTTTTGGACGTCAAAACCAACATTTTCCAACTTCAAACAAGCAACTTGCCAAGGGACAAGATGGAAAATGCCATGGGAAAGGTAAGTTTGAAGCTTGAAGAGTGCTGCATGGCCGTCGAGCGCAGCTGGTGTTGATTTCCGCATCTTCCCACGTTTTCCGCGTGTGCAAGTGTACGGTACCATGCAAACATGAACATGTAAAAGGCGCGCTCACCAGTCTTGCGTAGTAGCCCGGCTTACGCACGCGACACGTGGCGCGTCTCGTGTACTGGCCCGGCTTATGCATGCGACAGGCTTGTACGCGAAAAGCTGTTGCAGATTTCATGCTTCTACACGAGACAGGCTTATGCACAAATCCGGCTTATGCACGCGACATTACGGTATACCGATATCCTAAATACAAGAATAAAAAATAAAATCCTCAAAATGCTACATAAAAACTCACCATACGAAACGTGTGAAATTTCAACCGCCTTTCCCACAGCAGCAAACCAAAGCGGCCTTATAACAGTCGGACAAGCGCGGAGTACTCCCAATCCCATGCGTGATGCATTCATTGTGGGCCTGGCGAGTGGCGAGGCAGCTCTGTAGCTCACGTGACACAGCCTTCAACAGATCTACTACAGTCTTCTCGCTTGCAGGCAATTGCTGAAGTTTACATATTATTTCAGCGTGTTGTGGGCAATGCCTACGGAAGCTGGAATTAGCCAATTCCCCTTTGCAAACAGTTTCAAAAAAGATAGACAGAGAAAATGAATTGCGTTGAGCAATGAGAACTTTGAGAAGGAGCTGTTTCAGTCTTTAAAAAAATTCTCACCTTGACACCACTCCCAAAACACCTTCAGATCCACAACGACAGGCTTTACTTCTAAACTGCACGCGGTCTCATCACTGCTGCTGTTGTCATCGCTGCTATCAAGAAGTTCGGACATGGCAGGAGGTCAAAAACAAAATCAGCTGCCAGTCTTTCGAAGAATACTGTTGCACTCTCTCCACAACATGAAGTTGCCTCCTCGAAAACAATTTCTACAGCAGTATTTCAAGAACAAGACACTAAAGAATCTGATCCTGAGTATTCGTGGTAAACACGCACCTGCCAATATGTGGCGGGAAATACACGCCGGATAGATTTGAATTCAGTACTTGGCACGCTTGGAGGTGAGGTACACGCAGCTACACTGGAGAAGGATTCGCGTTTGATCTTTTGGACTTACGGACTGGACTGGACTGAACTATTCCAAAAATAACAACGAGGGGTCAAGGGTGCGAGTCAACCCCTGTGACACGAATTTCTGTGCCGTGTCACCTCCCTAGTTTGAGTACGACTCCCTGGGTACCACCAACTACATAAACACTTTCAATAAATCGTGACGCCATTTTGTTTTAACACGCATACGGTCCGCTGCCAAAATCAAAGAGAATGAATTTTAGTTTCTTGCGCAGGCTTTTGTATGGTGTGACGTAATAGTCAGGAGTCAGGCCAGGCCGCTGCTCATGCAATACAGTACTCAGTAGTCAGTATTGCCAGTCTACCAGGATGTACATGTACATGATTGTATTAGTATCAGCTGTATCTTGGCTGAAAGCCTGAAAGCCCTTCTAAGTTCTATTCCCAAAACAGCATTTTCCTCAGGGTCTGCATTGAGCGCGGACTTCTTGATCAAGGATGATAAGCTTGGAAAGGGTCAGGGGAGGGGCACAGCGACCACCAGTCACTTTGTCAAAGTGCACTATGCATGATCTGTGGCCCAAAGGTAAGTGTGGGGTCCGAGGTCTAGCTCTATACAAGTTCATAACCAACAGAGTGGACAAAATAATCAAAGATACGGATTGCTGTTTCTGTGTGGCGTGGCTTCCAAACTAGTGTCCGTCACTCGCGTGGACAATCCAGGCAAGCCAGATTTTTTTGCAAGGAGAAGGAGTATGCTGCCTCACTCACACATTTCACTTAACTCAAATCCACACGCTCACTATGGGGACATTCATCACAGGACTCTCAGCCTCTGTTTTAGGTCTACACCTGTAGTACTCACGGTAATACATGTAGTAAAATACGTTCGGGCCTGATTGTAAATTTTTATTTTCATTGCTATCAGGTTCGGCCACATTTCCTCTGTGCTGCGCTGACGAGTTCACAAAGGACGAAACAGTTCTGTCCGCAGATTGAGTGTAGTAAAACACATGTAGTAAGAGGACAATAAGCTCCCAGACAGCCCTTGGAGTATACATACTTCGAAGCACTCTTGATACTTCTTGAAGTAAGCCCTGATTGCACTTTGAATCCGTTGAGTTCTTTGTCCATTGTTATTCTCACATTTTGCTGATTGTACTTCAAAAATAGGAAAACTTTGTGTTGAGTAATAGTATATTGTGGGTAGAAACCAATTTTATTTAGCTCTTCTCCTTCTTTTACGTTCTTCACAGCTGACCTTAGCACTGACTGTATGACTTCGTTGCTAATAAAACCAAGAATAACATTCATTGTATATTTCTACTAAAGTTAGAGGAGCAAGGCAGTGACATCATTAAAATATCAAGCACGCATCAAACAGCACACGCCACTTCACATTCTTCCATCCAGCGCACTGAGAGGCCCAAACGCGGGAGGCCTAGGAAACAACCATTACCTACACGGCCGGGGAGTTCCCTGCTGTTGTCTGCCGTTCCACCTCTGACAACGGTGTTGGAGGGGCATGGGCTTGGTAGTAGCTCGTTAGAGGTGCGTGCTGAGCCACCATTGGTGCAACCCCCATGTGCACCTGAGTCTGTGCCCGCACTGGGTGCATTGCCTGGGGTTGTGCCTAGGGTGGTTACAGCACCTCTGCCTACCCCTGACCCTCCTCCTTCGAGGTCTGTGCTGGTGGGGAGTACACTTAAGCGACTTGTTCCACCGGAATCAGTACCTGCTTCACTAGCAGGATCAACAACCATGCTAGCAACAACACCAGCTTCACATTTAACAACAACAGTAACGTGTGTGTAAGGTTTTCCATCCTCAACAGTAACAACAGCAAATAATCCACAATAAAAGGCAGCAAATGACAGACCACGCAAACCTACAGCAGACTACAACAGGACCGATGAATTTATGATTTTTTCTGTTGTTGAATTTAGTAAACATACAACGGAAACAATCAGAGAGGGCGACGACTGATATGAAGGCAGCGGTATCATCCTTCGCTTTCTTGTTATTGGGCAACTTGCTCGTTAGAGCCTGCGAAGTAAAATAGACAACAACAACAACAACAACAACAACAACAACAACAACAACAACAACAACAACAACAACAACAACAACAACAACAACAACAACAACAACAACAACAACAACAACAACAACATCTACGGCTTGCGTTGATGGTGGTGGTGAAACGTAGGACGAATAAGAGAGTGAAACCGATGCGGATGATGGAGGACGTTGTGATTCGAGCACTGAAGGAGGAGGTGAGCTGAGTGAGGATGAGAGTGAGGGTGAGAGTGTGTGCGGGAGTCAAGATTGTGTGCGTACGTTTCGTAATAGCAAATCTTCAGTGTACAGTCTTTGTGGTCCACTTCACAACAATAACACACACACAGAAGTCTCTGCTGTGAGCACGGTAGCTCGGCAATGGTGAAGCGTTTCGTAATAGCAAATCTTCAGTGTACAATCATTTGGTCTCTAGTACTGACTGTTGCCGTACTTGTTCTGATTCTTGTTTTTCTGTTTTGTGCCGTGCTCGTCATGGTTACCTGTTGCAGTGAAAAGTTTTGGAAGCTATTTGTCAGCGTCTTCATAAGCCAAATTTGTGTGTCCAGAAAGATAGTAGTATTACCTTAAAATTGTTCAAAAAATGTGTGTTGTGTAGTGTGGCAAAGTTATTGCCATTTGTGCCTATACATGTACATGTATGTGTTGTTGTCACCTTCATATTTGTTATTGTTATTCATTCTCATTTTCTTTCGTTGCTAATACATACATGTACATGCCACGCTTATAATTCTCATGCCCTTGTTTCGTGCACACCTTTGTGAGAAGTATCATACTACTATCGTACTTTTCTCACTTCCTGATTACCCCCCTTCTTTACCAGCACCCTTTTCGCTTGCTTCTACTCAGACTTCTTAATGAACCTCTTCACATCAATCTTTTTTATCTTGATATTTTCTTCCTTTTAAATATTGCACCCTATTGTACACGTACACGGAGACCCACTTGATTTAGGCTTCGGCCTTTGGGGAATCCCTAAAAAAAATAATAATACTTTGATATGTTAGTGCTGTCACTGTACCTTGCTACTCGAACTTGATTATTATTTCCTTTGTTCTGATTTGTTCTTTAGTACAATGGTGATTCCTGAAGAGTGCTGTACGAAAACATGTTCGAATCATCTTTGTTTACATCGCTTTTCCTCCTTACATGTACATGTATTTCTCCTTACCTTTTAGATCGCTTTTCGCATCAACTCCATCACTTAACATTGTTTAACAAAGTAATCCAAATGTCACTTCAGCTCGTCCTCCTTTAGCACTTTTTTGTATAATTGTATCACTCCAATAAGCATTTATTGCTCTGCTGTATATTATTATTCTTCAGTCACGAAAATCCACTGATGAGAGTGACACTGAGAAAATCGATTTTGGTTAAACCTCTTTTTGAGACTTCTTTGTTTCGTGGCATGATCGCGGAACTAATATTATTCATTGCTATCATATTATTCAATCAAGAGTATCTACTCTTGATAATTCACGAACCCACCTTTGGCTGCTGTTTACGAGCCCCGTTGGGCCGTAGGGCGTAGGTGCCAATCTCTGGCATTCAGCCGAGTGCCGATGGATAATATTGATAATGGAAGTGTCTGGTTGGTTTTGAATGCAAGGAAGTCACGGTTGAAGATCACGACCGAACTCGTCTTTTTTGAGACAATTGGCCATCAACAAAGGTTACCAATGTACAAAGTACCAAAAACTGGCGAATAATTATGGGATTCTCGCTTTAAGCCCGAAAGCAGGAAGTAAGTCACAGCAGGGATCTAACAAAAAAACTTCGCGAGCGAGAACATACATGTAATTATTTATTTAGGTGGCAGACTACCCAAAAATTCGCTGAAAAATCGAATTTGTAAATTCATATTGAGTGCTACGTCAGTTGAAAGAGCATGAATAGCTGCAAATTCTCTGAACATTGTGTCCCGATCTGACCGGCCGTTCAAGAGTTATGGCCGAAAATGTGCCCTTGCAAGGAAAGATTTTTTTGTTGCACGCTGTCATTTGTTGGCAGCACTGTATTTGAATGTGAGCAGACCGTGCGCAACTTGTCGTATCATGAAACACGTGAAAGTGTGCAGAATTTTGCTCCAACTCCAAAAAATCAGTAGCACACCCTAAACCTAAAAAAATTCAAAAATTGACTTGGGTCTGTGGGAGTGTGTGAGAGAACGCCCACTCGTTCCGTTGTGACAGATTCCAGGGCCTCGTTGAGGGGCCCTACCCCATCACCCATGGCTGCTTCTGGACTTGTTCTAGGTTTGAGTCCCGCGCACGAACAGAATGAGCACGAAAATGTGAAAAAATTGTAAATGCATTTGTTTGGCTCCTGGGTGGCTCGCACACCGTGGCACTATGCCGGAAATTTGAGTTTTTCCGGCCTGGAAAGACTGTCAGTGAGGCGCAAGAACTTGTAAATCATGTCCTGAGGGCCAGCATAGTGGCAGGAGTGTGTGGTCAAAATTTCACTCAAATCCATTGAGAAACACCAAAGTTACGGTCAATTGAATGCCATATGAAATTTATGGGTAGGCTGCCCCTTAAAGTGTACTTAGGGAATTGTGTGTTGCTCCCTACATGGGAGCTCCCGGTTTTCCTGCCGACTTGAATTCTCACTTGACTGACTCACGACTGCCATCCAGAGCACGCGAGAAGTCCATCGAACCGTCCACTCGGCAAACCAGTTACCTGCAAGCGGGGAATTCACCCCTCATCAGTTGAGCTTGAGTAGGCTGAGGAAGATTGTGCCCGAAGAGCACCACTTATATTATTATAGTGCTGACCACGCACAAGCATCACCAGGGATACAAACTTACAGAGACGCTCCGTTTCCAGCGCGACACACAAATCGTGAACACCAGAGAGCAGCGTGAGTCAGTGCCGCTCATGGAGGTGCTAACAAGCGCTGAGGACCGTTGTCCATTCACAACGTTGTTGCCTCAAAACCATTAAATTCGCAAGCCTCCGCTGGGGACAACAATGTGAAGAAGAGGAAGAGGTTACCGTTGTATACTTCGCTTAACCTGCGAAAACTGACAATGCTCGCCACAGAGCACAAGGCAAGCACGCGCACTTTACAAATCCAGACCATAGTACGGGCTGCTACAGTGCTGCTCAATGATATCCGATCACGTGATCAGGGCCACACCAGGCGTTGCGTAACCATAGACATGCACTTGTTTGTTCCAAGTCAGTCTAGCCTCTTTCACGGGCAAAAATCACACAATGAACCTGTAATTGTCAGAGAAATGTTTGTTGCAGCACTGATACCGAGCCTCTTTTACGGGCAAAAATTGACACAATGGATTAAGCAATAAAACAGACACTGGAGAAGAAATCAGAAAATGCATGTGTAAAATAAGGATTTTCAAACCCAAACCAAAAAAACTTCAAATTTTATTTTTTATACTTATACTCGGGCATTGAGCCAATAAAAAAGTAGAAATGAAAAGGAAATTATGGAAACGAGTTAAGAGTAACTCTCCACCACTGTAACTAGATACTATATACAGTCAGAACGTGCAACAACTAGGCACAAAACTGACAGAGTACTGAGACATTCGACGTCCTGTAACAATCGACATTCTTTGTTCCGTTGGGACTGTAGCTTGTGCTCGTTTTCGTTGCGCTTGCCTTCCCCTCTTTGGTCTTTCCATAACCTTGAACCTTCCAAGTTGGAAGGCTGTCGGTTAGCGCCACGGAGATGATTGTGTTGAAGCTAGGTGTCAGGACGTCGAATGTCTCAGTACTCTGTCAGTTTTGTGCCTAGTTGTTGCACGTTCTGACTGTATATAGTATCTAGTTACAGTGGTGGAGAGTTACTCTTAACTCGTTTCCATAATGTCCTTTTCATTTCTACTTATATTTTTTATAATTAAAAATATTTAAAAAACGAGTTGTGCGCTTCTGGAAAGAATGCAACCTCAAAATGACACAACGCATCGGGTTATCTCTGTACAGCAATTTCTTGGTACCAGTCACCAGGCATTGCTTGTGTGAACGAATTGAAACAAAGAAATGTTTAAAAATGCTACACACTAAGAAAGAGCAGGCACATCCGGTTGTTCAACGCCAGCATTTTGAAACATTTTCACAAGTAAGCTTTCGTGTCTTCTCCTCAGGTCATGTGCAGTCAAAGAACAGAGGAACATCAGCAATGAGTTAAAAAAAAACAGGAAAGAGGTGATAAAACGACGCAAAGAAGGAGCGAAAGGAAAATAACGCAAAGAATGTTTTCTTCAAACAGAGCGCAAAGGTGATGGCTGACTTTTGGCAGGAGACGCCAAATACTACACAAACAGATCAATTCTGCAGAATTCGGACGCTTGCAGCGCTACACCTATCCATTCACGATAATGGTGAGTGATGATTGGTTGCTCCACTACATGCTTTGCTGGTTCATGTACACGAGTCGCTCACAAGATCTCCACCTGCACTTCCGCACAATATGATCGCGCAAAGAAATAGAGTATCTTCTTTTCGATCTGCATCCCACTGACGCAACAATGCTCATCAGTGCGCTCAACATGCAGCTCAAATGTTCCAATGTCGTGGTCAAGCTTGAACTTCAAAACATCGCCATCTTGGAATGTTATGCCCTGAAGACCTCCCTGCACCTCACCGCCAATTACTTTACCACAATGGATACCGCCACTTGTATAGAAAGTGTATGGGGATTCGACACCAAAATTAACTACCTTATTTCCAACGGATACACCAAGTTCCAACCTACCCTGGTATACATTAGAGCCGCTGACTTTCACGGACCAGGTGTGTACACCGGCTGTGCATGGGGTCGTTGCAAAAACTTTACTTCCTTGGCTTTCATGGTCCCACTTAACGACTCTGTCACTCGCTACCACTGGACCACCCTTGTATACAAGAGGGTCAAAGCAAAGGACAGGATGGACGTAGATGGGTGAACAGTTTAATCGTCGTTGTTTGAACAGTCTCACCTCCAAGACATAATCTCCTGCCTTCTCTGCAGTAGCACGAGCCCGCAGTACAATATCGGTGGATGAACGCGTATGGACAGATGATACATCAGCAGGATTCCGTTCACCCATTGAAGATACAAGCGTCACCTGCATCCTTTCGTCACAAACCTTGCTGGACATAGCAGAGTCCTGGTCGCAGGGAACTGTCAATGTCACATCGAAGGCTTCTCTCTGTGTTACTCTCTCAGGTTTACTGATGGTCATTTTCTGCAAATCAATACCTGTGTCTTCAAACACTGCCACTGCCGAACGAAGCTTAGCTGCAAGATCCTCGATCACTGCTGGCATAGCTGTTGCTTGGAGAGTAGGTCGCGGATCAGTGGATAGATCCTCTGCCTTCATGTTGGTCTTCAACAATTCCAATTTCTTCTGAACCAGTGGTGCCAGCCGCACAATATCAGCATCACTGCATCTGGAATCACATAGATATTTACCAAGATCAGCAGCCCTGCTATGGTTCTCTTTCATTGTTGTCAGCCGTTGTAGCTTCTTCTCCAGTGGTCTCTGCTGCTGCCAGCGCACTGCATCAACATTGTCAAGCAGATCTGCTTCACCTTTCTGTACTAGCTTCCTCACCGTATCAAACGTGTCTGATATCACCTGAGATGCATATGTGGCCTCATCGTTAATGGTCGACATCTCTTCCTCTGCGAGACCAATCATGTGCTCCACATTAAACGTGAGGCAGGTGTTCAGAGAACCTGTTGAGTGCGAGGCATGGGCAGTTGATTCGCCACTGCCTCCAAACTTCTTCAGCAGCCCTTCTTGCAAGTATTTTGCCCTCTCTGACAAGGACACAACGTCATGCTGTTCGTGTCCTCTAACTAGACACTGCTGACACACTGGTACACAGCATGTCTTACAGGCGCTGGACAACTCCTGTTTTGCATGCAGTGGACAATGACTGACTTTTGCAGAATGGCCGCCTTCACCAGCAGACGACAGTGTGGACAAGGGCTTCACTTCATGCTTTCGGAACACCCTGATCTTTCCATGTTCTTCAACATGCTCATCACAGAGAAGTGCTCCGTCGCACTCATTGCAAGCATGTGTGGCACGTTGCTTCACTACATTCGCGTCCTCGCAGAAATCACACCACGTCTTGGTCTCCCCGCCTGCGTCCAATAACTCCACAGATCGACCAGTGTTGCCAGCAAATCTGTACTCATTATCTGCACGCTCTGCTAGCGTGATAGAATGACTGGGAAACAATTGTTTGCTGAGGGCCAAAGCAGGAAATCGCTGTTCAGTCAATTCTTTGCAGATACAGCATTCGATGGAGCCCTCTGGAGTCACGTTTTCTTGCAGGCAACTCACGCAAATAACGTGCAGGCAGTTCAGAAACCGTCCATCTTTCGGCTCGCGGACATTGCAGAAGACGCAGCTCCTGACGCTGCCTTGACCGCCCACTGCTGAAGCCATGATTGTCAGTGATTTTCACGAACTCGTATGTTTCAGAACTACAATGATGTGCAGGTACCTTTTCTCTGTTCAGGTGTACGCTGGGACAGACTTGACTGCGGATTACAATGCACTACTGCCCGTACTAGTATCAACTATCCTGGCTGAAAGCCCTTACCAACACCGCTTTCTCCAATGGATCTGCATTGGCAGCACATGTATTGAGCGCGGACTCCTTGATCAAGGATGATAATACTAGTACAGCCTTGCAACGGTTCATCAGTGTAGCGGCACAGCGACCACCAGTCAATGTGTCAAAGTGCGCTATGCATGATTGTCACGAAATGTCAGTCTGCTGTCAACATGGCGGGTGGCAGACTGTGGGTCCGAGGTCCAGCTCCATACAACTTCTAGTGAAGCAGCGGCGAAGGTCCTACACGGGAAGTCTAAGTCCATAACCAACAGAGAGGTCAAAATTATCAAAAATGCGGATTGCTGTTTTTGTGTGGCGTGGTTATTTATTTATTTATTTATGGATTCCCCAAAAGCCGAGGCCTAAGTCGAGGGGGTCTCCGTTCATGGCTTACTGGGAATATAGATTGAGAAGAGGAAGGGTTATAACAAATGCGTAATGTAGAAATCAGCCATAACATTCGTTACTATGTTAAAGAAACTCTGGAAGGAATGAAACCAGCGGGTTCGAAGCGGGTGTTGGCAAAGATGGTACGGACACGAGACACAAAGCAATGACTATTTTGGATGGTTCTAATGTCAGTGGGGAGAGAATTCCAGGTGGCAGCGGTAACAAAGAGGAAAGTGGCACGCGAGTAGGTGTTCGCCCTGGCAGGCGGGACAAGTTGGAGAGGGCGCCGCGCGCTGGTGGAGAGACTATAGCCCCAGCTCCATAAGGGCAGTGTTCTGGTGGTGGACTAGGTGATGGAGCTCCCGGAGACACTGGATGTGTCGCCGCCATGCCAGACTGGGCCATTGGAGGTGCGCGAACAGAGATGCCTTCGGTTCAGTAGCTGAGGGAAACACACCGTACTGTCTCAAGACGACTCGTGCCAATCTGGCCTGCAGACGCTCAAAGACCGCCGCTTGGGATGCGGACAGTTGGAACTGCCACAGTGGCGAGGCGTATTCAATGGTGGGTCGAACATAACCAGTATAAAGCCGGTTTGTAACTTCCGGCGTTAGGATACACTACTACACAATTCTACTTACGATGGAGACGGTTGGCAGTTTTGGAACTCCTGCTCCGGCCTCCTTTTCTTTTAGGATTGAGAAGGACTGGTCTGCAGACCACTTGTTTTACGCCAAGGCGCTCAAGCAGAGTAAGGTGGATATAAGTCAGGTCTGCCAGGTGGACCTTCAGGGCAAGCCTGGACATTGCGTAGTAACTGTGAAGAGTTCTGCTGAGCGGGAAAAGATACTGGACGCAGGAATCCGGATTTCCGGTAAGCAGGTGCCCTGCGAGATTTCCGGGGTGGACTTAACCCATCTGCATGTGTTTGGGTGCCCTGTCGGGCTTCAAAACAGTAAATTGTGTGCTGCGCTGGGCCAATTCGGCCGAATTGTTGGGTCGCCTCAACAGAAAAAAGTATTGTTTGAGGGATTGGAAATATGTACTGGCACCCGTGTTCTCAGCCTGTAGTCCATCAGCCAAGAACTCAGAAGTCGTCAAATTCAAGCACCCTGTTGCACTTAGAAATCGAATACTTGATTTTGGCCTCAATGGGGAGTTTAGGTACCCTGTACACCAAATCTGCAAATAAAAAGAGTAAACGACTTGCACGCTCTGCAGGGGGAAGCCGACAAAGTGACCATTTTTGGAATTTCATCGACAGCCATTGTTGTGACCTAAACCCAATCTCCAATCAGTGCCATGCGCGTTTCAGGAATGAACTTTCAGATTTTGTGAATTACGGGAAAATCTTGCAAATCGAGAAGATTTGCAGTGTAAACCATTGCAGTTTCCGTATTACACGTGTGCCTGGATTCAAATTACAATAAAATTGTTGTTCGCCTACTTGTAGAGTGTTGTTCCATTACACATCTCTTTCACTGTTCTATTTAAATTGGGCATCCGAATACATACCTTCAGGAAGATTACAATGAGCTAGTATTGAACATCATCCACCTTCGGGTTTCCGAAGTGTGCACCCCGAGTCATGTCAAGCAGGTTTGAAGCGTAGTTTTTACTGTTTGGCAAAAGTGATCTACGCTTCCACCCTGAATGGAATCACCCCGGGAAGGTCCTGATCCCTGGAAAAATAAGGAACGTGGAGAGCTAAAAGTAAGGAATCTGCGGCGATGGATGTTGTACATCGAGTGAATGCCCTGCAGTTCTCTTCTCCATTACGACCAACTAGCAAACGCCATGGCTCTGGATGCTGACAGCAAACAGTTGAAATAAAGGCAAGGCTGCTTTGAACATGTTGCAACCAGGTAGTAGTACAGTTACAGTTGTACTACTTCGAAGTACTATCTACCACACTCGAGATCACCCAAAGAAATAAAGCGATTGAATTCAAAATCCCAAAAATTGTTGGGGATCGTCTGAAGCATATTCAAGCGAGGTACAGTCGGGCTTGATGACTGATCAAAGCCCTCGGGCTGGTCCCTTGGGCTTTGATCAGCCATCAATCCCTCCGAGTGTACCTCGCTTGACTATCTACTTGATACCATTGTAGTTGCAAACAAGTAACTACAACAATTGCAGTACAATATCAAGAGTCCACTCTTGACAATAGTCATGTAGTTTTTTGAATTAGTTATTTGAAAATGGTTTGCATCTTCATCTTCTTCCCGGTGCGCATGTACACATATTTTTTGAATCTGTACGTGCTCCAAGCCAACTCACCTCTGCTCAAATCGACGGCGATTTATTTCGCGATTTTAGGTCGATCGCCACGGAAAACCACACCAAACGTTGACAAAACTCCACGTTTTTCACTGAAGACGCATTGGATGTCCTGATAAAACGGATGGAAAACCTCGTAATGGCTGGTGAAGAAGAAGAAATTTGTCGAACTTCCAAGGCGCACTGTAAAAGGAGTGCAAGAGTTTCGCCAGGGAAAGTAGGCAGGTCGGATTCAGTGATGCTTTTGCTGTCGATTGATGTCAGTTCCACGTGTTCGATTTGTAAGTGCAACAGGGGACTCACTTTGGCACCACTGGCTGATGGACTAAGGACACTTCTAACTAATCAACACGCTTTTTGCATGATATTTTTTTAACTAAATCCAGTAACCAAGTCAACTCCCGGTACACTGGTCGATTGTGTTGCTGAAGAAGTCAGAGTTCTGTGCACAACCAAAAACACAACCGGCTCCTCATATCATTGCACACAAACAGAGAGCAGTTCCTCAGATGCTAGTCACGTCTTCTGAGAGTAGAGTCTGACCATCCCCAGAACACGGAATCGAGATACAAATGTGGTGCGTGTGATGTCGAAATGATATTACAGTGTATGTTCGTGGTCTAATCACGATAGAATTGTAAAGTTATGAGCACACCCTTCACACTACTGCAAAAATACTTGTTACAGGATGAACTCACATCAATCACGAACCACTCAGATTGTACTTATCGTCCTCAATCGATCGATTTATTGTTGAGAATTATTTCAGTATTTCAAGATCACCATTGTATTCAAATCTAGGAGTCAACGCCGTCTTCTATCAGCTTTCACAGGCGTCTGCCTTTCCCAGAAGGTCGTCGAAGTCACATGAATGGCTTTGCCAAGTCATGGCCTAGGGAATGAATCCATGTGAATGTCGTTTTCGTCACATGGTGCGAGTAATTAATGCATCGCAGCTCAAGAAACTATTCGGTCACAAAACGAATGCAGCGCATCAACATTTAACACAATTTCGCCATGTCCTCTCTACTCTGACTCCATATCGGTACGAGGAAGAACTCGTTTGTTGTAAACCAGATGTACATGTACATTATAGCAATAAAAACTGCTTTATGGCAGTTTTCTAATAAAGTTATTGTGGTCTATTCCTGGGTCTCTCCCCTATAGAACATTTATAAAATTGCTTTCCAAAACGCCATGGACCCGTCTCAAAAAGTAAGAAACTAACGAAATGCGATAGCCGAAAATAAAAATTTCACCCAAAACCTCACAATAATCACAACACTTGACAATCGTAGTTTTACAGCTGAAATACTTCCAAAAATTTGTTTATTCAAACAACACGACATGGAAACAAAATAAAAATAAATAGAAGTAAAAAGGAAAACAATAGAAAACGCAACAGTAATTCAGAAAAACAAAAGCAGCTACAAAAAGTCACAATCAGCTGACCAGCTGGGCGTCTTCTTTGCAGATGTTGTCCATGACCCCAGTCGACCTACGCACCTACAGATGCCAGTTGGCCCTACGAAATCTGATGCCCTAACAGCCTTCCAACCTGTGTCGTTGTATGACCTTTGACCTTTGACGCCCATCGCCGGAGGCGATGATAGCAATGCTACGGCAGAAGCCATAGCAACTTGTGCTGGGATTGCACCATTCAACAGCTTGCAAGGCTGAAGAATTGACCGTCACTATTCAGCCTGGTCTACACCATACAGCTATTTGAAGTGACTTTTTCTGGCCAGTGAATCCCTATTTTTGGTCTTTTTCTTTTTTCTTTTTTTTTCTTTTTTTTCCCACACACACATCACACCACATACTCCAGCATGCACTGGCTGTTGGTAACCACCCAGGAGAATGAAAGAAAAGTCAGGAAGAGTCTGAGAAAGAGAAGAAAGACGTGTGTGACCATAATCGTCGGGAATCGAACCCGCAACCTATCGATTGGAAATCGCTGCACATACCACTGCACCATATGGGACACACCGTGTATGATGTCGCTAAGCGTTTGCAACGTGTGGATCCACATAAAGCTACCGGAAGTGATGGAATCCCAGGTATTGTGTTGAAACGTTGCTCGGACACCCTCTCCCCATACCTGATGAAGATCGACAACGTACCTCTTGCGTCTGGTATAATAGTGCCATCAACTTTC